GGTGTGGGTCGCGGCGGGGGGGTCCTGAGCCTGTCCTGCCCCCCAGGGGAGAAGACGGAGAACCTGATCGGGGTGTCGGAGCTGATCATCGCCACCTCCCTGCAGGGCGTCCTCTTCTGCCTGCTGGGGGCACAGCCCCTGCTCGTCATCGGCTTCTCGGGGCCCCTCCTCGTCTTCGAGGAGGCCTTCTTCTCGGTGGGTGTCGGGGGGCACGGGGGGGGCACGCTCCTGGGCACTGTGGGGCAGGGACCACCTTCCCCCAGCCCCACCGTCCTGCTGGGGAGACCCCTGCCCGGGGCTCTGCATCTGTCCCTCCTGCTGCCCCCTCCATCCCTCCTGCTGACCCTTCTCTGTCCGTCTGTCCCTCCTGCTGACCCCCCTCTGTCCATCTGTCTGTCCCGGGGGCAGTTCTGCACCTCCAACGAGCTGGAGTACCTGGTGGGACGCGTCTGGATCGGCTTCTGGCTCATCCTCATCGTGCTGGTCATGGTGGCCTTCGAGGGCAGCTTCCTGGTGCGCTTCGTCTCCCGCTTCACCCAGGAGATCTTCGCCTTCCTCATCTCCCTCATCTTCATCTACGAGACCTTCTCCAAGCTAGCCAAGGTGAGGCGGCAGGGCTGGTGTCCGTGGGGCCAGCATCCAGGGGCCGTGGCCGGTGTCCGTGGGGCCGTGGCCGGTGTCCGTGGGGCCGTGGCCGGTGTCTGTGGGGCCGGGTGCCCCCAGCCCCGTCCTGACGGCCGCGGTGCCGCAGATCTTCCAGGAGCACCCCCTGCACGGCTGCCTGCGGGCCAACGGCAGCGGGGCGGAGGCGGCGCCGTGGGGCAACGGCAGCGGGGTCCCGGCCGAGGTGCGGGGGCAGCCCAACACGGCGCTGCTCTCGCTGGTGCTCATGGCCGGCACCTTCTTCATCGCCTTCTTCCTCCGCAAGTTCAAGAACAGCCGCTTCTTCCCCGGACGGGTGCGTGGGGCAGGCGGGACGGCCCCGGGGTGAGCCCAGCTTGGGGGGGCAGAGCTG